ATCCAGATGGTGGTTTGTTTCACCATTCATCAGCTAGCTTCAGAGGATCTCTAGCTCTGCCCACCACAGCGGCGACACCTTTGGAGTCGCTCCCTCAGGTCCCAGCATGGTGATCTCCTTCATCCTAGCAGCCACCTGTACCATCGTTGGTCTCTTCTTCGGGTCTGGGTCCACACAAGACCTTGCGACCTCGCACATTGCGTGCGCGGCTTCTTGAGGGAACGAACCAAGGCTCGGGTCAATCAGCTCCGCAGGGAGCATGTTGCCATCGAAGTAGCGAGATGCCAACTGTTCCAGTGAAACCCCATCTTCCTCTTCGGAGTAGGCAACTTTTCCAGTTAGTATCTCCAGCAATAGCATGCCATACTGATGTACCATGACATCTATGTCTGAAACTGAGAACTCATCGTCAGTGGTTGAACTGGAATCAGATCCCTTGGTGGCAGTGTCGCTCCAGAAATCAAGGTCTGAGACCTTTGCAGCAAAGTCATCAGTGAGGTATATAGTGCTTGAGTCAAAGTTCCTTGGCACAACAGGTGGATTCAGCTGGTGCATGTGCTCCAGACAGTAAGCTATCCCCATCGATATCCTCAGCCGTGTCGCCCAGTCCAGGTTATCAGCTTCTCTAACTGCGATGCAATCAAACATGTTGTCAGGTGTACTGGAGTACGTGATATATTTTCAACCAAAAATACGAGATCCAGATAACAGAAATCATATTGCCTATTTTATGGCGAATGAACGCACTGCTGTGGACAAAGTTTTGATGTTTCTGGAAGTCACTTACCATGGAGATGCTCAAAAAGCGTTCCATTTGGAGCATATTCAAAAACCATTGCTCTGGTAAAAGGAGTATCTTCCTCGCAATAGCCAAGTAGATTCATGAAATTCTTGTGGCTAACTTTGGATAAACTTGTGATCTGATCAAGCAATGGAGATTCAGTTATAAGTGTGGATTCTGCAAAAATACACTCGTCTTTTTTTATAACCACAGAATAGATGAGGTAAGTAGCATGCTACCTTCTTCCTGTAGTGGGATTCACATTCTTTTGACCAATCCTTCACGGATGTTACTGAGCTTGACACAACTGCTATTTCAACTCCACTCGATAATGTCCCCTTGTACAGCATGCAGCTAGGCGTAGAACCAACTATGTTGCTAAAGTCCTCACAAGCTGCTTCCAGCTCGGATCGTTTCAACGCAGGTACACCTGGAACATGAGTATCGTGCCATGGTTTAAGTTCAAACTGAAATAGAAAAGCATAAGGAATGCACACAAAACAGAAAGAAATTACCTGTTACGAATGCTCGTTGCAGTTGCCCGCTTAACCCTGTGGCCCATGGCCTCACAGTGCCCACCTTCTTAACTCGACAGTACATAACAGAAGCTGCAGCCATGACAACAAAGACTGCACCCCCTGCAGCGACCAAACTGTACTTTCTCGAGGAATGTTTATGTGGTGGAGAGATGGAAGGTGAAGGGCTAGGGGCTGCCAATGGATGATGAGATCCTGAAAAAGATATTGGAGGTGCAGAAGCAGATGGTGATGGCAAGGCTTTAGGCGGAGAACTAAAAGGTGAGGGTGATGGAGCATGCATTTTATGTTGATGATGTTCTCGTTTGTGCAGGCGCTCATTTGTCTTTGGCTTCTTCTGAACAGGATTAGGACGAGGAGCATGTGTAGGTGGTTGGGGATGCTCGTTTTTACCACTCTGCAGCAATCTTCTAGCTTGCACATTTCTGGAGTTTCTGGTACAAGAAGAAAAATAATTGCTTGAAAACAAAAGTCAAGAGAAGAATGCAAAACAGAATTTGGTGAAATGGAGTTGAAAACCCTCGCAGAGATGTAACTTCACAACCGTATATTGCCAATGCTAGTCTAATCTATTGTACGCAATAGATGATACTCCGTATCATCATATAAACGGTGTGCCAAACTCCAGCACATGATGAATTCACGCCGCTTTGTAGGCAAATTCTCGAAAAAGTAGCAAATTTGCTGATACTACTGTTATGACGCTTCTTCGATTAGTGAGGAAATCAAAGTATACCCCTCATGTGTGCCTCACCAACCCAACCCGTCGATTGATAATCTGGCATTTAATCAGCTCTTAAGCTCTAGTGCAGTAGCATCCAAATAGTTCATGCCAATACGCTGTAGCTATCGCAACAATCAGCAGGTAAACATGCATACTCTTTCAATTCCATGTCTACTAGTTGTCCAAATAAAATTATGAATGGCCAAGCTGCTAGAAATAGAAAGCATGTTGTTTATGCGAAGAACAACAAGAACAAAAAGAAAAGCAATTGTCACCAACCACTCACTCACCCAAAAATGAGATGAGCAGCAGCAGCAGCAGGCTGCCTGCTCCACTCGTCCTCGTCGGCACCGATTCCTCCTAGAACTCCAGTCGCTGCACAGCCCAAACCAATCCAATTCATGAGGGCAGTCAGCATCAGTGGAAACAAAACAAAAACAAGGCAGGCTAGTAACAAAGGGGAAACCAAAATCTGAGGGCACCGACCTGCACTACCGCGGGCGAGCAGCAGCAGCAGCAGCCAAGAAAGAGAAGCCAGCGGCAGGAGAATCCTGAGCAGCAAAGGCGGCTCCATCTGGCAACGGGGACAGGTGAGGGAGGAGCAAGAAGAGGAGGGGACAGGGCAAACGCGTGAATGCGCCTAGCGCCCTAGCCTCCTTTAGTCCTTCCTTTCCTTTCCATTGGTAGGGGTAGGGAAGGGGGGAAAAAACAAAAACGTGAAAAAGGCAGCAATTTTTTATTTTGATTTTTTGAGGACTGGACAGGGAACAAAAGGCAGCAGCTTGGACGCGGCCAAACGAAGGAAGAAGAAAGCGACCGCACAGCTTGGCAGCTATCGCATTTTTCTTTGTTTCTAGTAGTATTTTATCGCGTCCTCACATTCATTTTCTTGATCATCTCCTTCTTTTCCTTCCACAAGCGTGTCGTGTGGATCTGGTGGCGCAAAGGAAGATATTTGCACCGAGGCCCTCCGTCCTATCCTCTTATAATTCTTGTGTAGTTTACACAAAATGATGGGCTCAAGCCTCAATAGAAGGTACTCCGTATTAAGATTGTTTAGTTAAAAATAAATAATATGATGCACAAATTCGAGGATGGTACATGTTGGATGGTATACTCTCCTGTTCACAGAAGGAGGTAAATTTCATTTTTCGAGAAGGCAAGCGACCTAAAGCTTGATTAAAGCTACATAAAAAAGTACTGATATTTTATACAAAATAAATATCATTAAATTAATTATGAAATGTATTTTTGAGTAAAATCTAGTTGGAGACATAAATGTTTATATTCTTCCTTACAAATTTGGTCAAAGTTAAGCTATTTTAACTTGTACAATTTTTGTAGTTACGTTCTTTTTCACACGGAAAGAGTAGTAATTAAGGTCCAGAAGAAGATCGCTGCTTTTGCTTCTCATGAAATGCCACGAAAGCGATATGGCGCAGCAATAAATTTAGAACGCTAGACGCCTCAACCGTTGACCATGACTAGCAACCGTATTCTCCATTCATCATTTGGATCTTACTAAGTAGTACTATGTCGGTAATGCAATGCAATGGACCCACCCCGAAGTTAACTAACAATTTCTAGGGTGGAATTAAATGAGCGATGTATCGATTGACTAGTCTTCCAAATTGAAATCTCACTAGATCTGTGCACTTTTTAATTATTGTAGCTAGTCATTTGCAGACTCTACTGCGAAAGGGCTGCAGCTAGTAGTTTGTGGCTACAAGAGCTTCAGTAACACTTCAAGTCTAAAACCAGGCAAAAAAATCACTGCTGGAAAGAGGCCATTGTAAGAAATATCTAGAGTAATTAACGGAGTACTGTCTTCATCCTAAAATAACTACATATTCAGATGTGTTAAACTTTTTTAAGTTTGATAAATATATACAAATTGTATTAATAATTATGGTGCATAATAAGTATCATTAATAAATCAAGCATGAACTTATTTAGAGATACATATATTAACATTATTTTCTTAGAGTTAGTTAAGCTCCTTCAAATGCGTGATGATATATAATTATTTTGGGACTGAAAAGTATTAGATTAGGATAAGGAATGGTAGAAGTAGAATCCCAAGCCGAGTACTAACCTTGAACGTGCAAATTGCAGTAACAAAACTATATTATGTAAACTATATAGAAGACGTGCGACGGGACGATTTTTTATCCAACCAGGAAAGCAACCAGTTGCTTCATTTCTAGCGATAGTTAGGTCGGGGTCGGAGTCGTCCTCCTCCTACAAGTAGCGCTGACTAGTAGACGCTGCAGCACCAGTGCAGTGAGATACAATAAGTTACAAGTGAAGATTCTGCCGCACATGCCGTGTGCTAATCAAATCCATCATCCAGGAGCATCATCATGTTGGTTGGGTAATGATTGCCTGCACTCATTATACAAATCTACCAACCTGCTTATACTGTAAATGAAAGGAGCAGCGTTTCCATTTCCAGGCTTCCAGCCAAAGCATGTAGCAACAGAAGCACCTTAGTTTTTTTTTTTAAGAAAAAGAAAAAGAAGGAAACAACCTTTGCGGTATCCTATCTCCACACCACAACAACAATCGTTAGGCCAGTATCACAGACACAATAACAATTTCCCAGTTGCAAACGTCAGCATCAGCCACAGTTTTCTAAATCGAATCGACAAATAGTAATAAAGCAGGCAAAAGAAACAAAACAAATTCAAGTTACCTGTCGATTAACTTTAACCAGTGTGTGTACCTTAATAATCACACCAAACCAATTTGATGAGCAGCACATCATATAACGGATGCTAAATAGAGTAACTTATAATCAGATACCAGGATAGAGGCCGAGCTACCATCGCCAATGTGGCAACCAACTATTCTACACCTGTGACGGTGATTATTTATCTAGGCTGTGACACCACTAGAGTGGGCTAGAGACGAGTTTTTGAATGCAGTAATCTTCCTACGGCTTGGCCTCAGATGCAGACTAGCGGAAGTAAACTGAGACGAGAGGAATGTCAATGTCATTCCCATCATCATCCTCGCATGCTACCACGACATCTATGTGCTTCCGGTATTCAGGAACCTCCACCTTTGCCACCTCCCTGGCGACATCAACAGCCTTCTTCTGCAGCCTCTCCTTGTGCCTCGGGAACATGCTGTTGTACAGCAGAGAAGTGCCGCAGGACATGCTGTAAGCGCTGAGGCCCTTGTCACTGAACCACTGCAGGAGTTCAGCGATAGTCAAGTTGCCCTTGATAGTCCAGCGGTCCCATACGGTCCAGCTCAGATCTTGATGCTTCATAACCTTTGCCGGAACTGGTTCGGCCATGGAGAACAGCGGTAGAGCTAGGTTGGCAAATGTGTTGCGGTAGTCCTCGATGGGGTGCTCCCCAGCAATGACCTTGTATAGCTCCAGGCACACGAGACCTGTGGCCATGGCTGTTGAAGTTGCGATGGCCGGGATGATCCTTCCAGCGATGAACTTAGCCTTCAACTTGTCAACCTCAGGAATGCTGTAGTTCCTTGCGCGCATATTTGCAAGCCCAGCTATTAAATCCATGTGAAAATTAGTGTCATCATCCTGGAAAAGCAAAGTGAATGTTAGACCAGCTATTTCATGCGATAGTTTGCAACATTCGTGTTTACATATCCATCTGATTGGAAGAAACAAAATCCTAATGTGTCACAAAGGAAGTAAAGCAAGCATGTCATACTACAGGACAGCCAACCACCAATGAGACAAATGAAATCATGATTTGCAACAATGGGTCCTGTTCTCAAAAAAATAAGCAGTGAGATTGTACTAACTACTTATGGTGCTGATAAATGGAACTTGATGTATTGCTTGTTCATTATGAATAGAGAAGTAGTATTAAGTAGATAATAACATCAGAAAGAAAACTGACTATACACAGAAGGACCAAATTTATCATTATAAAGACCTAAATACTTATGGTGCTGATCAATGGGAAGAAATATTAGGTAGATATCACTTGAACTTTCAGGAACCAGAATTCCCAGCATAAGCCCGTGCATCTCATGTGAATCTTGGACTGAGACGAAAGAAATATCTATATTTATTATTATAAAAGACCAACAGAAACGACCAGATTCCCAGCATAAGCCCGTAGCATCTCATGGGAGTCTTGGACTGAGACGAAAGAAATATTTATATTTATTATTACAAAAGACCAACAGAAATTACCATAGGAAACATATTACTAGTTGGGGAACCCATCTCAAAGAACTTCTTAAACCTTAGATTCGAATGAATATGTAGTTGGAATACTAACCTTCTCAAATTGGATAGGTTTCATTTGGAATCCTGGAGGCAAGCCCTTGGCATATTCTTCCAACTTGGTCAAAAGATCATTAATAACAGCAACATCATCAACTGAGGCACTAGAAAGGTTAGTAGACTTCTCATCTGTCACAATATTCACCCCTTTCTTTGGCTCAAATTTAGGAACAGCAACCTTATTGACCGCATCAGCCAGCTTACTCGTGTTCTTTGCCCAGTCAGGTATAGCAATCCCAAATGACTCTGCTCTCAGTATTGAAGCAGCCATGATGAAGTTGATGTGAGATGAATCAGTGGCTGAAAATTGCAGAGGGCGGGGAAAGCGCTTTGGGGCGGACCAGAAAGGAGTGCCTGTGCTAGTAGCAGCGTCTTCAGGAAAAGTGAATGTAAGCTGCTTCACGCGGTTTGAGAAATAATCCTCAAATCTGACATGAAACAAAATGAAATCGGTTAATCTTGCACAAAAACTGAAGGAACACAGATGCACGTCCAAGATAAAGAAATTAAATTTGTCTGGTCAAAGTACAACACTTCTTAAATTTTAAACAGTCCTCAGCTACAAAGGGAATCAACTTGAACAGATGTTGGTTAAATTAGCAGTACAATGTCATAAAACTGATAATTCATTTATCATAAGGTGGGTAAGAGGAAGATGTGGAATCCCACAGAAGTGAAGAAAATAGTAACATATATCATATACAGAAGAATTGAAGAAATGTGACAATAGAAAGCATGAACATACCTCAATCGGGCCCAAGTTATGCAGTCCTCAAATGTATTGCATCGCTCCTTGTCAAGACATTCAGAGACGCGTTCAAGTAATTCCCTTGCTTGGGCATCACCTGCCTTCCTCATGGCAGCAGCATATTGAGCAGGATTAGACAGAAAAGAATTTACTTCATTTGGTGTTTTCTCTAGCAAACCCTCGAACTCTGAACGGGCCCATGTCAAGCAATGATCAATATTGTGTGGAAAAGAATGGACTGTGCACATGGGTGCCTGCTTCTCAGGTGGGTCTCTTGAAGCTCCATAATTTTCAGTAAGGTGAGGAATGACCATTTGCGTATTGCACTTTGCGCCCAATGTCCCTGACTCCAGTAGTGGCTTCTGGAAGTACAGGCACCTCATGTCCATATACATCCTAGCATTAACATTATCAAGGGCATTGATGACAATATCCAGTCCATCCCAGAATGTGTCATGGAACACATTTTCGGTATCAGGAGAGGCACGGTTCTGAAGAGCGTCAATTTGGAGGCTGGGGTTGATGGCAATGGCGGCGGCTGCAGCTACAGTAGACTTTGCTTGCCCAATGTTCCAGTCACGGAACAGAAATTGGCGACTCAGATTGCTTTTCTCAATGACATCGTCATCTGTTATAGTTAGCTTTCCCTTTGAGCTGCAAGAGACACCCATTAAGGCAAGGTTCTTCAAGAACTCACATCCAAGAGCGCCAGAACCCACAATGAAAATATTTGCATCTAGCATCTTCTTCTGAAGCTTGGAACCAAATACAGAAATCTGAGCATCATAGCGGCTATTTGAAGGCTTCAAATCTTGGGGATCCAACTGATATGTAGGGAGAGATTCAACAGAATCAAAGTAGAAGAACTGCATAAGGTGGAGTTTCATCAGACAAGGATAAGGGATGGCAATATAAACAAAGAAGGTACATTATTCAAAACCCAAACCTGGTAAAGCGGATGGAATTTCCCTGAACATGCCTTCACAACTTCTTGACCAACAATACCACCAAACATTGCAGCCATTGGGTTCAAAACAGCTCGAGAACCACTTGCAAAATGACGGAGCAACTTTTCATCAATGTTTTCCAGCTTAGGACTAACAGATGCTTCACTAATATCAGCAGCAAACTTCAGGAAAGTTTGAGCATCCTGCTCACAGCCAGCGGTAGGATAGCGCCCATGTTCCTTCTTAAATTTATCCAGAGCTTGAAAGGCTAGATGAAGCACAGGTGAGCGTTCAAACTTTGAAAAGTCGCTCAGAAGGAAATCGCCAGGATCTCTCATTGCATCTCTTAGTGCCTTGAAACGTAGAACCTTTGGTTCCTTCACTTGTGTAACGATACCACCTTTTGTATAAACACCATAGCTACTTGTGTCCTCCTCAATGCTAAATGAAAACGGCCTAGCATTTTTTACCTTCCTTGGTTTTCCATCATTCAATTCTGCCATGCCTTGGACCTCAGAGAAAACAACAAGATCACCATCCTGAAACTCAAGCCTCTCATCATCGACACAGGATACCATTGCAGGACTGTCATTAGTGATGGATGCAATTATACCAGTATGTGGATCTTCACCATCAACATCAAGGACAGTAAACTCATGTCCAAAATCACAGAAGACACTACCGAAAAGGCCACAGACTTCAGCTTTGATAAAAGAGATTGGGGGCTGGTGGCTGTGACAATAGTCATCAAATTCATAAGCCTTCTCCAAACTTATATCAGTGAAAACAACAGCCTGCGCAATTGTAGCAAATAGACAAGAAATGTGTGAAATCAGAAATGTAATGCTTTAGCAGGCAACAAACAAATAAAACTGTCAGCAACCACGAAAAGCGTCACAGATTCATTGGATCAAAATCAAAGGATACTGCAGGTCAAAAGCATGGAAAGATAGTACTGAGGACTAGAGACGAACCTGGAACTTAGACAAGTGCTCTGTAGTCAATTCCTCTGTTAGAGCAGAGACCAGAACAGCGTTATTCAGCTCTTGCAGCTTTGACACACAAGCTACAGCCCTGTTCTTTCCGACGTCTTGCTCTGATAAGAAGAAATTGCCAGACAAGTCCCACATTCCCACCATTTTGACATCATGTATGGTGATAGATTTGACTCCAGCAAGAGCAAGATTTTTTGCTGGAAAAGTGCAACACAATTGTTTAGTGTGACACACAAAACACGTGAAAGAAGTTGATGTGTTTTTTCTTAAGAATAAGTTGGTGTGTTGTTAGAATCAGCCGGTATGTAATGCTTAATATGTGGGTTAATCTAAAATTGGAGAGCCCAAAAAAAATAGCAATGCTAAGCACAGACATCACAATCACTGAAATTCACAACAGGAACTTGGCGTCTACTCCATTTAGTATTCTTTCTGCGTTCCAGTAACGAGGATTCAGGCATTGCATCATGAATCTGAAAATGTAGGACGGCAAGGGAAAGGGGGTGCAGACGAACCAATCTCAGCGCCAAGGCCATTGAGGCCAGAGACGAGGACATCGGCGGCGAAGAGGCGGCGCATTGTCTCCCTGCCGTACACGGCGAGCTGTCTGCTGTGCAGGTCCTCGTCGATCTCCGGCGCCGCCCCATTACGGGTGCCGTTACTGGCCGTCCCCACGCCGGCGGCGGCGGCGGATGGCGATTCCCCCAGCTTAGCCCTTTTGGACTCGCCGCCGTCGGCGCCCGCTGACCTCTTGGATGGAAGCATAGCAAGGAAACCCCTGCGCAAAAACTGTAAGGGCCTCATCGCGAACGCCGAATCCGAAGACGGCGCGGAAAAGAGAACACATGTAGTATTTATTCGTAGCAAAGCAATAGCAATCGGGAGGGTGGGACGGATGCGATGCTTACCTGGGCGGGCGAGCGGCGACCTCGCCGGTGGGGGAAAGGAAGGGATCGGAGGCGAGGGAAGGTGCTTGGCGTGGCGGCTAGGTTAGGGATGGGGCTCGGGAGAGTGAGAGCTCTCAGTATTATTCGTGTCGTCGAGGGACTAATGGAGAGCGGAGGGAGGCGGCGCCGCCTGGAAGAGGCTGAGGGAAGGTATTTATACGGGAGGAGCCGCACCGGACAGGGCAGACCGGTTCCGGCACAGGCCACAGGTGGTTTTCCTTTCTCCACTCTAAAAAAAAAAGAGAGAAAATTACCTACAAGGCGCTCTTAAAACTCAGTCTTTTTTTCTTTCTTGGCCCTAGAAATTTCCAACTAACATGTTTAGCCTCCAATCTAATTTTCGATTCCTTGTATGACCTTCCCGTCAGTTTTGTTTGAGGGCACCGTGAAGTCATACTGAAGACTAATACGAAATGACATGATTACCCTTCACTACATCTCCTTTTCTCCCAGTAACGCACGACTCAAACCAGATCGGGAAAAAGCTTGAGGCGGACAGCTCCTCACCACTGCGGATGGGATGGAGGCGGAGTCGGCGAAAGGTGAAGGAGCCTCCAGCTGACTTGCGAGGCAAAGAAAGGCCACCCGTGCGCGACATGAATACCCTTGCGCGACCGCACGAAGGGTCGCGTTCCCAGGCCGGGCTGGGCCAGCGCGGGTCGGCGCTCTCTAGCGGTGGCTGGCCGGCACTTTCGCCCAAAGGAGGCGGGGCGCGCGTCGCGCTCTCAGCGCTAGGTTGTGTCGGCTCTCGCCAGTTCGCTCCATGCGGCGTTCCAGCGGCGAGCCACCACCGCCAGTGGCCGGTGCTCCAGCAGCGACCGGCGGTAGGCGGCAGCCGGCCGCGCGATGAGGCAGCGGCGCTCTCACGTCATGCCTTCAGCGACGGACCTTCAATGGGCGCTCTCGCGCGTGCGCCAAGTGGTGGATCTTCTACGCGTTTAGCCGGCAGAGGCGAGCCGCGTCGGTCGAGGTAGCGGGCCAACCACCGCTTTCGGCACCAAGCGGCGGTCTTGCCCATGGTTCAAAGCGACGCCGATTCAGACTCTGCAGCCCGTCACCAATGGTGCGGTTGTCGATGAACCGCAAGTAGTGGAGAGGCCGATTGGCTCGGCGGGTGAGTCCATCTTTTTTGTTCAACCTGCGATTACTAGACATGCATTTGTAGATCTTGTTTGCGTTACTTAGGTTTCTTGTTGAAATAGCAGATTTGATCCAAATTCAAGTTTCTTGTTGAAAATTAAATTGTTGGGCAACAGAAAGAAGTGCAGAAAGGATATTAAATATTTTAGCTTTGAGATGGTTGTGGATTCGGACTTGACAAATTATAAGGATCTTGTTGAATCAGTGGTAGAAAGGTATCCACCAGGTTATTTGGAAGTTGCCCATGTTCAATATTATGATGAAGTTCTAAAAAGCTTCCCAGAAATAACATCTGACCAACAATTGATGACTATGTTTAGTAAGCACTCTAAGAGCAAGATTATCATCATGTTCATTGCATATTGTGGTCCTTCTGATGCTTTTGAGCCAATCTCGGAGTAGGATTTTAATGATGAAAGGCAGCTTGACAACAACACAGAGGCAGTGGACACCAACACAGAGCCAGTTAACACCAACACAGATCCGATTGAGGATGATTACCTTAAAAATCCACTACCACAGAACGAACATGTAGGTGTTAATGAGGAGATTATGTACTTGGAGAATGAACCCATTAATGGTCTAGCAGTTGTGCCTTCTTCTGATAAAGGAAAGAGAGACTCGGCCTATGTCCCTGATGATAGTGAGGGTGGAGATGTGTCCCTTGATGATAGTGAGGGTGAGGATGTGTCAGATGAGTTACCATGTGAAGAGGAGTTGCCATATGATGAGGAAAACTATGCTCCAAATGTAGAATATGATACAAAGGATCCTCCGATGGTAGTAGCCTCGACTTATGATAGCATGCCAGAGTTTAGACTAGCTATTTCTCAGCATGCAATAAAACATGAATTTGAGTTCAACATTGCAAAGAGTGCACCAAATCGGTTTCGAGCATATTGTTCGCGGAGGGACTTAGATAATTGTCCATGGTGGATATTTGCATCTACCACTCAAGACGAATGCACTGTGCAGGTAATTGTACAATCTTTTATGCTGTTTTTTTACTTTTATGCTATCTTTTTCTGACTTTGTGTTTCTCTTTTGTAGGTGAAAAGAAATACTTGTGCACATGCTTGTTCTAGTACAAGAAGGAAAAAGAACCACAAAAATGCAACCAGACATTGGATATGTGCAAAAGTGAAGGACTTCCTTATAAAGGATGCAACTTTGAGAGCAAAGGACTTGCAAAAGAAGATTAAAGAGCACCATAAGGTAAACATCAACTACAAGAGAGTATATGATAGGAAGAAACTAGCATTGAAACAACTTTATGGTGACTGAGATAGCAGATTTGACAATCTTTATAGGTTTAAAGCACAAGTTGAGGTTTCTTGTCCTGGTAACTTAGTAATTATTGACCATCATACTGTTAATGGAAAGATAAGATTTAGAAGATTCTTCCTTGCATTCAAACCTTGCATAGATGGGTTCCTCAATGGTTGTAGACCATACCTAGCAATAGATAGCACATTCTTGACTGGCCAGTTCAAGGGGCAACTGGCTAGCGCTTGTGCTGTTGATGGGCATAATTGGTTGTATCATGTTTGCATTGGAATTTTTGATTCAGAAACTAACGAGAATTGGATTTGGTTTTTGAGTAAGCTTAGACAGGGCATAGGATCACCACCAGGTCTAGCCATATGCACGGATGCTGGACAGGCAGTGATGACAGGGGTGGGTGAAGTATTTTCAGGGGTTGAACATAGAAAATGCATGTTTCATTTGGTGATCAACTTCAAAAAAAGGTTCCATGGAAAGATGTTTAATGATCATCTTTGGGCAGCAGCTTACTCATAGAACCCATATTTGTTTGAGAAACATTGGGTTGCAATGGAGAAAGCAAAGCCATCTGCAACTAATTATCTAAGGAAGTGTCACAAGAAGTTGTGGACTAGGAGCCAATTCTCCACCATTTTCAAGGTAGACTACGTAACCAACAACCTTGCAGAGTCTTTCAACAATTGGATTAAGCATTACAAGTCCCTAAACTTGGATGATTTCATGGACAAGTTTAGGCAACTGCTTATGACCAAGTGGAACCAAAGGAGAAAAATAGGAAAGAAACTTGATGGCTTGATTCTACCTCACATAATAAAGAAATTGAATGAGGCCAGTAGATAATTAAACTTGAAAGTGCTAGAATGCGGAGAACATGTGGGTGAAATAACAGCAATGGGTGGTAGTGGCTTCAGGTTTGTGGTTAACCTACTTGAGAGGACATGTTCTCGTCGACAGTGGCAGGTTTCTGGAATTCCTTGCAAGCATGCACTCACATTCATCACATCACTTAGCTATGCACCAATAGAGCAATATGTTGACATGTATTACTTGCATTGAGAAGTTTAGAGTTGCATATAGTCGACTTATCCCTGCTATGCCCGATAAGACTCGATGGCGAAATCTACTCATGATTTTTTCATGCACCCACCTCTATTAAAGCCCGATGGTGGTAGGCCCTAAAACAGAGAGGCACAAAGATAGCTCGATAAGAAAAGGAGTAAAGGCCAAAGACATCAATGCCCTATTTGCATGGACTACGGACATCATTGGCATAATTGCAAGCGAGGAAGACCGTAAGACATTGCTTTGCTATGAAAGCTATCAAGCAATAATTTGTCTACTCTTTTTCCGCTTTTAAAAAGACATATTAGTGACTTTTTATTTTTGACATTGCAGAGGGAGAACCAAAGAAGAGGGCAAAAACAACAAATATCTTTGAAAGTTCCATTATGCCTTTGGAAGAAGCACCATCTGCATCCATGTCTTTTCCACCAAGGTTTGTAATTTCATATCCCTTGCAATGTCAAATTTACTCCCATGTTCACTTCAAACTTATGATTGATTCTATGTTCCTACTGTCTCACCATAGTCAAAGCTTGGAAACTATTGCTAAGAAAAAGAGAAAATCCGTTGATTGTACTCCCAAAACATCTAAAAGGTACTTATCACTAGTGCTGAAAATATGAATTTATGCCATCATGAATGACTATTTGTCTTAGATACTAAATAGATTGCTTGTCTCTCACCACAGCCAATCCTTGGAGATATCAAGTAAGAAAAAGGGGAAATATGGTAGCTCCAACTCAGGCACATCAAAAAGGTACTATTTTCAACTCTGAATTTTTTTCATCGTTCATATTTCTATTTGCTAAAAATCATTGCTGCCCTATATTCACATGTCCAGGTCAAGGAGTGACTCCAATCAACCCGAGGCACTTTCCATTGATTTCCCTGCCCACACAGATCAACCTAGGAAGGCCAAGGCTGAAAAGAAGGTCACATTCAAAATGAAAAAGAAAGTGCTTAGCAAAGAGGTGGTAAATAAGCCAAAGGTGATACTTGACAGCCCCGCAATGGGCACACGAAGCAAAACTTCTCAGCCTGCTGGCCCAGCGATGAGTACAAGAAGTAAAAGAAGGCTCAACCTATGATTTCTCATGTGTGTAACACTAGCTTGTGTATGTGACAACTAAATTTATTTGACTTATGTGTGAACTGAATTTATTTTAGATGTCCAATATGTGCGAACTGAATTTATTTGAGATATCAAAAATGTGCGAACTGAATTTATATGTGCAATTGGCTCCATGTCTGGGAAAAAATGCGTGCTAATACTGTAGTTATGATGTGCTCTAAAATTATGTGCAAGAAGTGAAAATAATGCTCAAAATGAAACATATGCAATTTACAAGCATCTACAAAACGTACAAGTAC